AAAATCACCACGAAAATCGCGACCTAAAAAAGATAAGGAAGGATAGCAGCGTCGCGACCATAAAAACACACCACCGCCACAACTACCAACAACTCACCCCCGCCGAACCAACGTCACCGAAACCACCCCAAACCACCACTACCACCCCACAAACAACATCGGCACCACCACACACCCCCAACCAGATTCACCCGCCGCTCTCAGATCTTCTTCCACGGGATTATGTCGTTGTCGCTCTTGTCGCTGTGATGTCAACGATTTGAGGGAGATGAGAGGCGCCAGTGGTGCCAGATTCCGACATTGGCGGCGGGAGAAGAGAGAGAGGCTAGAGATGAGAGAGAAGGAGAGATGAGAGAGAATGTGTAAATGATTTTTAGGATTTGGATAATTATAACGATTGAAATGAATTAATATTTAATATTTAAAATTAGATATCTGATTTTCGTATAAATAAACTTCAAACCTGATTTTTGAATTTTAAATTTTAAATACCAGTGTGGGTGTAATTTCCTCTAATTATATACTACAACTTTAATTATGTAATTTTACTAAGACTATTTAAGTAAATAAGAAAAATATTAAAAATTATGGTGCACTTAATAAGATTTGTAGTGGTAATATAATTAACCTTGCAATATAACCGGTTAAAAATTGTGAAAAAGAATTCTAACCCTACTAATCATTCGCAATTGGGCTTTCATCCATGTCCATAGCGATTGTAGTTGAATTACAAAGGGCTTAAATCCACTAAAGCCCAATTACGATGGGCCGAAAGCTCGAAACGTTATAACCCTAAAACGTATTGCCCAATCCCCATGTGATCCAAAAACCCTAGTTCGGACGAAGGCTGTGTAAGCGAGCTTTTTCAAATCACTTGTTTCACATCTTCGCTGCCTTTCGAAGATGAAGGTATTCTCTCGTATGTCTGCAAATACTGTATATATACGTAAATTCTGATCTAAAGATTTGTTTTTTTGTAGTACTATTTTGAATTTTTGAATGTTTTGTAGTTCAACATCGCAAATCCGACCACTGGTTGCCAGAAGAAGCTGGAGATAGATGATGACCAGAAACTGTATGTCTTCATTTTCGATTTTCTTCTAAAAATTTTAATGATAAATGAACTGAGGTCTGATTGCTGGTTAGGCGTTTTGTTTTAAAAATGTGAATTTGTGTATGTATTTGGTGAGATAAATTGGTTCACGTCCTTCAATTTTTCAATTATGATTTTTTTGCTTGCATCTCATGGAATAGAAGTGCAATTTGGAAAATGATACAGCATGTATACCTGAATACACAAGAATATTTTATCTTTATTGCAAGAACCAATTTTCCACGTTGTGTTATTATTTTTTGTGTTTCTCAAATGTTTGAATCTGATTCTGTGAGTCCTACGTACTGGACTTCTTTGTGCTTACTTTGATTTTGTTCATTTCTATTGTTACACATTTCAGTTGGACTGTATGTAGGTTATATTGTAACTATTTATTTATCCTTTTTTTGAAAGCTTATTAAAGTTAGCCAAAAAGAACTGAATATCGTGTACTTGTTATGGCATTTGTTCTAGGAGCAAATCTTCTCTTTGGTAATTTTTTTAGAGTCGATTTTATTAAAAAATATAAAAAAATGGAAAAAAAAAATAACCTAGCTACAAGTCTATCTCCATTTTAAGTAGTGAAAAATCTCACTGCCTGGATTTCGCACTGGCATTGAGATTCAAACAGTGCTGTTGAGGGGTGGGAGTGAGATGACAGAATGGATTCTGATGAAAAATCCTAATGGTACCTCTTAATACTCACATTTATCAGACCCAATTCTTGTATTATTTTTATCATGATTTATGGTGTAGAGTAGATGTTGATTTCCGTTGAAAATTTAGACTAAACTCATTCTTTAACAAAATGTCAGTTCCATTTTAACTTCTACGTACGGTGCATTTCAATCTTTTTGCCAGTCAGTAGCTTATTTTGATGTATTCTTTTTATTTCCTATTTTACTGGTTACTGCATGCTTAAGAATCACGCAATGTTTGAAATTTTGATATACCCAATAATATGCAAATGTGTTTACTGATGGTATTGATATATCAAAACTGTAATTGCAGACGTGTATTCTGGGACAAGAGGATCTCTCAGGAGGTCAGTGGAGATGCTTTGGGTGAGGTATGACATCACTTTTACGTGTTAAGTTTTCTTGTTTTATACCATGGTTATAGCACCCACAAAGTGACGATCTTATTCTAATGTGGACACAACTAATTGTTTTACAGGAGTTCAAGGGCTACGTATTCAAAATTATGGGAGGGTGTGACAAGCAAGGTTTTCCAATGAAGCAGGGTGTGTTGACTCCTGGCCGTGTTCGTCTCTTGCTGTACCGAGGTATGTGTGAATTGTGATTGTTGACCTTTTATAGATGGTGTCGTGATAGTTGATCTCTTCTTGAGGTAGGACCGTAAGAGAATATTTGTTCAAATAGGTACCCCTTGCTTCCGTGGGTATGGTAGGAGAAATGGAGAGCGCAGAAGGAAGTCTGTTCGTGGATGCATTGTTAGCCCCGACCTCTCTGTTCTGAACTTAGTGATTGTGAAAAAGGGTGACAACGATCTGCCAGGATTGACTGATGTTGAGAAGCCGAGGATGAGAGGACCAAAGAGAGCATCAAAGATCCGTAAACTCTTCAACCTTTCTAAGGAAGATGATGTAAGGAAGTATGTCAACACTTACCGCCGAACTTTCACCACCAAAGCTGGTGAGTTAGTATGCCTCGATTTTGTGGTTATTAATTATGTCAATACTTTGAAGCTCGTTCTTTTTTACTTCTATGGGAATTTTTGATACGTCCAAGGTTGTAAGTAGTTGAGGGGAGTTGAATTTTGTATTCTTGTCTTTTGACAGGTAAGAATGTGAGCAAAGCTCCTAAGATTCAGAGGCTGGTGACTCCTTTGACTTTGCAAAGGAAGAGAGCTAGAATTTCCGACAAGAAGAAGAGGATTGCCAAGGCCAAGGCCGAGGCTGCCGAGTACCAAAAGCTTCTTGCCTCTAGATTGAAGGAGCAAAGGGAGAAGCGTAGCGAGAGCTTGGCAAAGAAGAGGTCTAGACTCTCTGCAGCCTCTAAGCCATCCACTATCGCTTAAGTTTCATCAGAATGCAATTCTTATTTTTGACTTCCTGTTACTCGGCGATAATTTTGACCTTTATTAGACAACTTTCTTTGTGTACTGGTTCTGTTGGTAATTAAATATTTTGACATGTTTATTAGTTTTATTAATATTTGATCAGTTAAAAGATATGGTTAATTGCTGTGTTTTCTTGAGAACCCGACTCTCGCTGAGCTTTCTTTGATGAATAAATCGATGGTTAGTGTTCCCGTGAATTAAAATCCTAAATTTTCGTAGGCTGTCAGTTTTTAAGCTTCTTTTGTGCAAATAATAGACTATCTATCCCTTGAAAATGTCAATATTTTGGTTATTAAAGCCGAAAAATTCGTCATTTTCCTTCCATGTCTTCTTGTTCGTTCGCATTTTTGTTTTGTTGTGTGCCTTCCATGTCTTCTTGTTCGTTCGCATTTTTGTTTTGTTGTGTGCATTGTGTATCTTGGTGCATAATACAATTAACACTACACTGCTGCATCGATTCTTTCTTCAGCACAACAAATACTGATTTTCTTAAATCGTGGTATTGTGTTTTAGGCTTCTCGAGTAATGTACGAGTAAAACCTTAATTCGTTGTTTGCATAATTCCAAAGAGAAACCATACTGATACATCGACAACAACAATATATGTTGACATTTTCTAACCTTAACCTCTTCAACTAACTTCAATAGTAATTAACTTATCTGGTACCCTTAAAAGTCATCAATTAAATCCTCCAGTGGCCGGCCATTGATTACCCTACAGTTCTTTCTGATTTCTCCGGGGCGACCAGATTGTAAGTCACCCAATTTAATCATCCCCTTGACGAAGGCCTCAAAGAATTCTCTCTGATTTCTACTGAACAGTCTCACATACCCTCTAGTCTTCGGATGAGTGAACAACGTTTGATCGGAATTAAGAAATCCTCTCCCGTTTACCAAGTCCTTAAAAAACTGGTTGTCGAATTTCTTTGGGGTGGCATCCAAGTTCCCTGTCACATTTCCGTCTCCTCCTAGTGGGCAAAGCTTATCTAGCTCCTTTCTGAACTTCGGTTCAATGGCAGGGTCGGGTCTTCCTGTACCTGATTGATTATATAGTCGGTGGACTATGGAAAAGCACCTTCCTTTGCCAATGGAGTGAGAGCCAGAAAGGGCTACTAGATCTTTGACAGAGAGATTGAATCCGCTGAAGAGATTAATGAGAGAAGTTGCATTAGCTCTAGGGCTTGGCATTATATCGTCCGAATCTTTTTGGCTGGCCGTCAAGCTATCTCGCCTGCCTAGTTTTACTTCCCAATTTGGTCCTCCACTCTGGTTCAAGACCCCATAAAAGAAAGTGTTAAAATTTTGTTTATTGTATTGTCTAATCGTATCGAGTACAGCTTACCAGAACAACAGCGTCTCTAGCAACCATGATTACGATGTCAGCACACGAGACGACACCTGCACAGGCATTCTCTAAGGCTTCCTTGACTTCGTCAATTACTTCGAATGATCTTAAGGAATTAATATTCGACAAAGATAGCTTCTCCCCAAGCATGTATGGAGTGTCATCCAGCAACACTGAGCCATCACACCCCTACAAAACAAAAATCCAAGAAAATCCCATTCAAAATCTCGATTCAACAAAGAAATCAGTTTTGTCATATCAGCTGGTTTTGATGTAAGAATTACATTAACTAAACAATCATGGAATTGCAAACGCATCACAGAGGCACCACTTCTGGTTTCTCTAACCATGGCTTTTTTTATGACATCCCGAACAATAAATTCTGCTTCCGGGCAGGTTTCTGAGTAAAAACCAGGTCGGAGTGGTGTCCCCGAGGAGGTGATGGCCAAGCTAAGGAGAAGGAAGAGGAGGAGAAGGGTGGAGGACATTTTGAGAACTGGCTTCATAGATTTTTTAAGTTAAAACAGATTATTTCTATAGGCTCTTAAACTTTATTTTTTTGTGTGGGAAATGTGGGAACATATTCTTTTCAGTTTGACGGGTAGGGTGGGGGTGGGGGTGGGGGGAGGTGGAGGTGTAAGCAATTTATAGGTATGGAACAAAATCAGGCCAATAAGTGGCGTTTGTTGTAGGGTGATGAATTGATGACCACTTTGATATTTTATTCTTTGATTTTTTAACCGACTAGACCCACTTCGATGGACTGGAATTGGATATCCTTGAAGACACAATTTCCAATTATACCCTGGGGAATTTGTTTGTGAAGGTCAATGGCAAAATTGCTTTTCTAGAGAATCAATTTGATCTCGTCTTCTTTCTCATCTTATCTTATCGTGTTCTTTTTCTTGTGTTTCCCTTTATGTGTTTGTAGCTTACAATACCCCCTCATTGCATTTATATCTTCTTACCATTTAGAGTAATTCAAGCCTTAAAATATTATGTTGAATTTTTTATCATGCAGTGGGAGAGATGATGAATGCAGAGAGAAGAGAACATGGGTATATGGATGGCAACATGACTTGAAATGTAAATGTCATTTAAGGATGATGCAATCGTATATAGAAATAAGAAAAATTGGGATCAAAGTTGTTATCTGTAATCATACGGACACTGTGCTAGCTCTTAGGGTGATACAATGTGTTTCGCGTGGTTACTCGCTAACAATTAAAAGAGGATTAGACGATTGTGTAAGGAACAAACCTCTTGAAACAAAGTCCCAAAAATGAGTGTTTTTCGAATATGAAGATTACAGTTTGGATACGAACAGGATGCCTCCAAGGGGCGCAAGCACACAAGTACAAGGAGATGAATTAATTAAAGTTAATTTAAGAAAAAGTAAATTACATATTCTCTGTTTGAGAGTGAATTTTGTCGGGGGCTTCTTCATTGCTTTCCTCTTCCTTTTATACTCCTTGAGCAGTTCTTAACCGTTTGGACTCTGTTTGTAACTACCCATTTCTTTCATAGTGACTGACTGGCCAATAACTACCATTTGTAACTCCTACCACCCCGTTTTCTTCATAACCACTTGTCACTAATTTTCTCAAATCGTGGGGTGTAATCGTGATGTGCTCAAACCGCCTCAAATCGTGAGTTTAGATAACAACAGGGTTCAGTCATCGTTAGGATTTTGGGCGACCCAATAATTTGGGAGATGACTCCTTCGCTCTGGGCGTCCATAGGGTACTTTATTCGCTCAACATTTGGGCGTTCTGCAAGTTTGGACGACGACGTTCCTTTGCTTGTGGGCTTTTACATTCTTCAATAATATCCTTTGCTTGGACTTTCATCTTGAATTCCCAATTGTGTTTCGCTCTTTGGGCCATTTAATTTGGACTGCACTTTTAGTGCGTCAACACAATGGAAGGGCTCTTATGAATTTGAAAACTCTGAATTAATAGTTGTCAAAGATGGCATCTGAAATGAAATAAATGAGATTCAATCCAACTAACACTTAGAGAGTGTGAATATGTGTAATATGCGGAATTAAAAATTAACCGACCATAATTACAAGAAGTCACAAATTATTAAATCTAAATGAATTGAAAACAATCTAAACCTAGTGGTCAATCAAGTATAAAAGTAATCAACACCAATATTTGGTTATCAAGGAAAAAATCGTTGAAAAACTTTTCAAGAAAAAAATTTATGAGCATAAATAATTCACTAAAAAATATTTAACTTACAGAATTGATCCAAACACAACTAAATCTTAATAGACTCACCCCAACATTTGATCACCAAAGAACTCATCGGTTGTGTACTTGAGTACTAGCTCCACAACTTGTGGACTTCTTTTCTCCTCTTAGATCATCAAGAAGGAACTCATTCTTCATGAGTTGGAACTCTATTCACCTCTATGGATCTTTATAATTCTGAAAGATATTTGGTAGAAGTTTATTTGGTGTATTGTTCTTTTATATTTTTAACGTTTTGATCTTGTGGTTGAGGCAAGGAAATTATGGAATAAGTATTTCATCTTCAACAATGTGGTCTCTTGAATGAATAATGGTTCAACCTGCTTTTGGGACGAAATTTGGTTCGGTATATATAGTATTAGAGAATTATGGGTTGTTTAGGGTTGTAAATAGGCTGTAAATCGCGAACTAGGTTTTCTTCGTATAGTACGTCCGCTCGAGCGGTCTATTGGAAAATGGCTTGAGCGGTCTTTGGGTTTTCTTCGAGTGCTTTTGAATATTATCTAATCTTCTTGAGTAAACATTGAATCCTTTCATGGACACTCTTCAACACCCGACAATTCAATCCTGAATATAACTCGATTAAATGATATTTTGGACACAAAACTTTGCCAATACACTTTATATCTAACATAAATGATAAAGAATCTAATGCTACAAATTGGATCGGTGAGAAGTTGTCACGCATTTTCCACAACGTGAAATTACCTCAAATGTACGGTGTCAAATTTTGTAATATAGTATTGAAGTTAGGATGTCGAACCCACATGGATTATAATTTAATTTTCACCAAGTACTATAATTATGCAACTTCTATTTTANACTATAATTATGTAACTTTTTATTTTATTTATACAATGAATGTTTGAATGAATTATTTTAAATTAATCTAATGAGATTGGTTAACAAATACGAGGAATGCAAATAATTAAGTTGAGAAAGCCTAGGGAACGATTTCATCTAACCTTCAATTATGATTCAATGATATCCAATTATGCCAATTGATTTTTCCATATTCAAAAGTAAGAATCCTAAATTATTTCTCTCCCCTCTCTCGAGTGCTGACTAGAAATTAACACTAGAATTTAATCTCAATACCTTTATTCCGAATTAAAATCTAGAATTTATCAAGTTCCGAATCTTTTGTGAAGTAAGTTTCATAGATTTTACACACTCTCTAGAAATCCATAAAACCTACGTTGTGTCAATCCTATGATCGCGCCTATTTTCCCCTCCCGAGTGCCGAAATTGACTAGCAAGAAATTCATAAAATCTAAACAATTTACTATGGAAAATATAAAGGAGAAGGTAAGGAAAACTCTTTTTGAAGTGTTGCTTGAAGTCCCCTTTGATATTTTCATGCTTTCTTCAATTGATTTCTTCCATTCTTTGTGTTGCCTCCTAAGTCGTCTTCTTCCCCTTGAATTAGATCTTCAAACTTGTATTTATAGCCTCAATAGATAATAACACGGATTGGAGTTGGGTCGAGCCGAAAAAAATATAAAAATTGAGTTTTTTTTTCCTTTTCTCGAGTCGCACCGCCTAGGCGTTCGGGTAAAACGACATACTGCACCTTATTTCAATATTTTTATTATAAATTTTTCTCTTGATATCCGATTGAGGTGATTCAAGATGCGTTGGAAAGTTAACGCAAAAGGCTACAACTTTTCTTCAGACATCATCCTCCAATTCGATTGTTTATTATGTAAAAAGTGAGTCTCAATATGAGACTAAAAATCCAGAGTAAAACTTTTTCGATTGGAATTTGATGTGTGATCACTCTTTGGTTATATTTGATCCATTTGACATATTTCTTCATCCAATTGACCATTAACACTCTCAAATCTTCATCATGAGATTCGACACAACTTTTGAGTATTTGTGCTTTAGTTCCTGAATTTTGGAACTCTTACAATTTAGCCACAATTTAGCCACTTTCTCCAAAATTGTCAAATTTTACTTTTTTTTTTAATCTCACCAGCCTACGTCACAACATCAAAATACACATAAAAGCACTCTAAAACTTTCTCAATGGTAACAAAATAATGAATTAAATGATATAAATATTATGAGTGTGGAGCACTCATCAGAAGCAATTCTGAAAAAGTGACACATGGTATAAACAATTTCAGCTATTCAACGTTGAATGCACTTAATCTAGTTCAACTAGTAGCATTATTCCTGGGGAATGGGTGTGGACCACGAGACTCTTGTTCCTTCAGTCTTCGTTCTAGATATAAAGTAGTTCATTATTTGACTTCCGTAGATTGTGGTGGATTATTTATTTAGCCTTTGTTGGTTTAAATAAAAATCTAATTTTTTAGTAAATTCTTAGGGAATATGTGATTGATTTTATAAAATGTATAATTAAAATTAATATTCACTATGTATAAAATTTTGATTTACCTTTTTAGTGAAATCAAACAAGGGTTTAAATATTTCTCACTATTTTTTTTCTCAAAATCAAAAAAGAAAAGGCTCCCGTGCGAACTTCGAGTTAATTTAATAAATTGTCACTAAACTTTGTTGTATGTTACTCTTTGTTCATCGAAATTCAAAAAGTTACTCTTTGTTCACCTAAATTTTAATAAAATTATCTATTAATCACCCATATCATTTCTATCAATGTCTATAGAATAGGTTAATGAGCAACAAGTAATCTTGTTTAAGAGCAAGTTTGACTAAGCTTAAAATTCAATTAAAATTGAAAATATAGTCGTTATTGAGTTTCACTCCTCTAATAAAAGTCAACAATAATTACTAATTTTTCAATTTTAATTTCTACCGAATATGCCCTAAATTTAGATGAGAAATGAGTAAACGTTTAAATTTTGATGAGCAAATGGTAATATATAGTAAAAGTCAGTGCATAATAAGTAACGTTTTAAAGACGCGTGAGCGAGTAGCTACCATAGCAAAGTTAGGTGCCATTGATTAAATTAACTGTAACTTCCATTTCCGTTCGTCACCGATTTCTCATATTGAGATTGATCACTTTGTGGAACAAGATTTCATTTGGAGAGAAGCGATGGATGAAGAGGAGCACGAGGTGTACGGCGGAGAAATCCCTGACGAAACTGAAATGGAAGGCGATTTGGATCCTAACAACGTCGACGTCGATATGTCAGTCGCCGATGATGACGCTATCAAGGTACCCCTCCCCTTTTTTGTGTGGTGTAGCTATGTATGTGGATATGTGGGTTTGATTTGATTAATTGGATCTGAGTGGATTTGGGGATTTTTTTTAGGAATTGGATGAGATGAAGAAGCGATTGAAGGAGATGGAAGAGGAGGCTGCGGCGCTTCGTGAAATGCAGGCGAAAGTTGAGAAGGAGATGGGTGCTGTTCAAGGTCTGTACTTTTCGTTTTCTGGGTCTTGTTCTGTGATTCTCTATTTTATATTTCTTTTTAATAATTAATTGCAGCTATATCTACGCGCTATACATGTATTGGATTTTATGTTATTGAGGAAATTGGTTCTGATTTTAGAGGGCACTGTATTATTGGAAGTAGTTTGGGAAAATTCTACAAGTTATCTTCTTTACTGTTTAAATGAAGGGAATTTTTTTGGGTTAAAACTACATTCAAAGAATGGATATGGAAAAAGCGTGATATCTCCGTTGCATAAGAAATGCAGAAGAAATAATGCAATGGACTTTTTTGTCTGTGTTCGCATTTGAAAATTGAAAGGAAGAAAATAAAAATATGAAAAGAAGATGGAAAAACTACAGCATCTTTATTTCCTTCAAAAACTCAGAAGAAGGCATTAGCAGATTCATATTTTGATTAATGTTTGGCAAAATATAGGAAATTTCTGAATGTGGGCAAGAATTTTGCCTTACATGGAAGCTCCTGTAAACCTTCTGGGGTAAAAGGAAAAGGGGGCAGCTGTGCTTGCCTTTTTTTACGAGGTTAAAATTGAATTTTAGTGCAAAAGGCCTTTTAAACAAATTTTTTTGAAAGGTGGTCTAATTTAATTTTGACCATAACAAAGAGCATTTTTTTTTCCCTAAAAAAGTAGCCAATTAGTTTTCAAGAGAAGACATGGAAAATAAATTATATATGATGACGTAGGAGTCCGACTGTAATTCAATGAACTCTACACACACATATATGTAGAGGAAGATAAAAAATGAATAGCAATTCACTTGGACTTGTGGAAGGTAGATCTTAGCAATGTTTTCATTGACCATAAATATACTTGCATGCATGGTACATATAATGTCGATGTATTTGTAAAACTATTTGATGAGTAGTATTATACTAGGAACTCTATTTGCCATTGTAGTTAACGTATGTACAGTTATGACTCTAATAAGCATGTATTATGACCATTTAATTTTTGACTTTTAATAGATCTTGAATAACTCTTGAAATAACACGGTTCTCTTTATCTTGGTGAATTTTAAGCTATATATATCTTATAGTCAATTATTAGCTTTTCAATACGTACAATTCTCACACCTAGAGGCTATACTGTCTATAATTTTCTGTTTGAAAGTTCATCTCGAGAGAGGTGAGTTGATGCCGACAACGTTTTTTAAGGTAGTGATGATTTTGAATTGTTAATAACTAATTGTTCAAATTGTTATAATTAGTTTGTTGAGTCCAAGATCAACATGACCTTAGAGCTGGCAATAAATTGAGTTTGACTAATATTTGATTATCTGTGCATTCATTCAATAGTGAACTTTGTAGAATTCACATTATGTAATTCATTCGATATGGAGGTTTTACAAACCATAGTTGGAGGAATATGGGAATCAGAAGTGTGTATTTTTCATGGAAGTATTAATGCATGAGAGAGTGAACAGATATGAGGCTATTTCAACTGAAATGATTTGTGTAAAACATGCATCTAAGCAGCTCATGGAATGATACTATCATTCAATAAAGCATTCATGGCAAGCATTAGCTATTGGGACAACTAAAATTTAGAACTAAGCTTCTTATCAGTTAAAGGAATCTGCAACTTCAAAATAACTTCCTAATTTGTTTACGTTTGGTGATAATAATTACTAGAACAAGATAGGGATGGAAGGAATGATTATCAGCAAGTGTTGGAAAGATTGGCACGATTTTTGGTAGAATATGACTCGTACTAGTAACAACATTGTATGTAATTCTATGTTAGACTACTCATTTCCCGTGAGAAAGCAGAAGTACTAGTAAACATGAGTAAGATGGATAGATTGATGTAGATAAAATGAAAAAGGGACCAGAGTTACTTGAGACAAGAACTGCAAGAAAGAGAGAGAGAGATGGCTAGATATTATTCTCTGCCTGTTGGTGCTTGTTGGCGCATATTCTTCCTTTTGTTCCATAAAGTCTATCTTCGAAACCTAATTGTAGTTATACCAGACCAGCTACACATCATTTTCAGCATTGTAATACAAGTTCTAGTTGAACTCCTAATAAGCACCAAAAGAACCAGACTAACCATAATAGTTACGATTGATAGATTCACATTAAAAAGAAAAGGCTGGTCATGCTACTGCATCAATTTCCAATGCTAACATGTAGTGATGATTGAGGAGAATTGATATATCAGATGGATGAACAAGCTGAGGAAATTATGCGTATGATGCATATTACCATCGAAACCCAATATTTCACTGGCAAATTAAAGGGATGCACATGTACAACCTTTTTCTGTTAGAAGAGTACTGAAATCTTTCATCTCATATTATGTCCAAAATTGAAGAATATAAAATTATCTAGGGGGACGACCTTCATTATATTTGACCTTCTCATGGTCTTGTGTCATTTATTAAACAATATCAGCCTAGAGGAAAGAGCTATGCAGATGCAGAATGGAGTTTCAGTATCTATAAATTTTGTGCTTAGATTAAAAATTATAACATAAGTAAATACTGCCTTTTTTTCCTTAATTGTATTAATATTATTTTGAAGATTTACGTTTTGATAAACTATACCTATAAGAAATAATAGGTTTGGCAAAATAAATACCTATATCTATAACAAGTTAATACCAAAACTAGAAAATACTTATTTGTAATTTTTTAAAATTATTTTACTAATTTACTTTTTAGAATTATTATTACTTTTATTGCAAAAAATTTTAAAACTTAATACTTGAATGATTTTCATATATTTTAATAATTTGAATTAGGATTAAAATAAGTGATAACTTTCTCAATTTTTGGAGGAAATTTGAGTCATTTTACTTTCTGAGCTAACTAAAGCTTTTCTTACGTTGACACAGGTATTTAATGTCAAAATATGTAATGAATTTTTCAGTAAGGAATGACTAGCTAATTTGTTTTCACCAAACATGTAAAAAGAAGAAAAAAACTTCAAAGTAAATTCGCCCTACTCATAAGACTAACATACTCTTAAAACTTGTAAGAAAGGTTTTTGAGGCCCACTGAGAAGAAATGACTCAGAGTGAGGGGCAGAGACTCACCTGGTCCAAAACTAATATTGTTCTGTGCTGCCAGTAAAGATCCAAATTTTTGACTACCATCCACCAGAAAATCAAGCCTGAGATATGCGGATGGAAATTGCATGAATAAGTTGCCAATCCAAGATCCAATGCCTTAGCTTTTCTATGAGATAGAAATTTTTCTCTCAATAGGTTTATATAGCAGTCCTTCCGAGGGGATGACAAGGTAACGATTGCCTATTGATTTCATAGGTGAAGTTTCACCTGAGAAAATGAGAATGGTGCTGTTCTGTTCTTTGAAATCTCCATGAACTGATTTTTCTGGATCCTGCTTTTTGGGGAATCTTTTGAGGGGGATTGATGCTGTCATTGATCCTCTGGAAGAGCATATCCATTCTGATGAAGCTGCTCAAATTGCTTGAGATCCTCACTCAGTCTATATGATTCCTGAATTAAAACTTGAGGAAATAGAATTATATTGCTGCTTTTGACTCATTGATTTTATGTTTGCCTTTCTCTACCCTTTTTTTTTCATACTTACTGATTCCCCTCCTTGCTGAGTTAAGAAACCTCTTCGAATATCTTTGGCATTTGCACCTTCTTGTGATAATATACTGCCTTTTATGCCTCCTTTTTACTTTCAAGTTTAAAAAAAAAAAAATTTGGCTGCCTCAGCTCGATTTTTTTAATCTCCCCTTAGTCTGCATATATCTAGTTTAATTCTGGTACTTCATATTTTATGCTGAGTCCACAATTATCCAATTTCGGCGTTGCAGATCCTGCTAGTGCTGCTGCTCAAGCAAGCAGGGAGGAGGTTGATTCACGGTCTATTTTTGTTGGCAATGTGAGTACCAAATTCCAATAATCTATCTATTATTTCCACAATATGCTTTCAAGAACCTACTTGAGTGGTGGATGCCTCTATCTCTTTTAACTTGTGTCTAAATCTATTATCTTGTCTTTTGATGCATCTTTGATACTGTCTGCTTTTATTGTATTAATCAGCAATTCTGTTTCTTGCCATGCTGATCGGCCAGATTTGCAGGTGAAAACTATGCATAAGTTTTTGTATTCTGTCACATTGCAAAGTAGCTCATTGTCACTTGAATTGTCATTATGTGCTTCACTTTATATTATTTCACTTTCTTCTCTGTGCTTATAATTATATATTACCTAGGTTGTTGCAAAGAATCCACTACCTGAATGTGTTGTGTGTATATATTGAGGAATTTTAGCCATGTTGTACATTGCAAAGAATTGGACTTTTGGTTCAAGAGACGTTTATATTTTGCACAGCTAAGCAATTAGAAACTTTGTCGCTTTCCCACTTTTATACAAAAACAAATAATTTCGTTCATTACAAGATCATAAGTCATACCTATGGACCTATTCTAACTTTGATGCTTTAGCTTACAATACTTTTTGTGGCAATAATACTAAGCCCCTGTGTGGTGCACATCCTTTCAAAATACATTTTTTCAAAACTCATTTTCAATCACATATTCTTCAATAAAATAATATTTTCCATCACATCAATAACTTTCTCTTACTTTTTAACCATATATTTCTCATCATATCACTATTTAAAATACATTCTTTCCTCAATAATATCCAGCAAACACACCGTAAGATGCAATGCTATGATGTGTCTAAAATATGAGATCGTATGGAATTTAGAATTGGTTCTTCAGCCTTTTGAAATGCCACAGTTGCTAGAATGAAAATTTGGTTATGGAGGATGAAAAATTTAGAAAGGGAGAGAGGCGCACAAATATCTTCGGATAGTGGTGGGAAGAGTTACAGGAACGATCTCTTAGTGTTTCAACACGATTTGCTAAATCTCTGGATAAGCTATTTAGATATTGGCTTGTGACAGAGAGTTGAAATACCTTCTGGCATTTAGTGTATGTTGAAAAACATGTAGGTTTTGCTCAAATTATACTAATTCTAGAGTTAAAAGAGGCAGAGTTTTGGGTGCAAAATGATAAGAAAGAAGCTTACCAACTGTTAACACTAGAATAATTTAGGGTGTCCTAAAAATTACCCCCTTTGGAGAAGAGATTTGGGAAAGCATTCAATATGTCCTGGGCTCTACCTAAATACATACCTGTTTCTCCCATTATTTTTATTTTTATTTTTTTTTGGTTGAACTAGAAATACATATTCTTATATTCCCCTAAAGCCCCATTTCATGTTTGGTACATATCCTTACTGAAGTTTGGGATATAACTTAATAAGGTATTTCTTTTCCCTTCATTCTTTCATTATGGATTGTTAAAGGACAAATTGTCCACAAAACAAGTGTAGTAGAAATGATGATCTTAAGATGGCATATCGTCATACTAGATTAAACAAGATTAGAAATTCGAATTTATGCCAACAAGTGGTATTGATCAAGGATACGTTAAGGGAAGAATGACTTTGGTGGTTTGATTTTTATTACAATTTCAATGTTGCATGGGCATTGGAACTTATCAGTCCATTTAGCCTGCACTAGAAATTGAGGGCTTGGGTTGACTCTTATAGCATGTTTTATTCACTCTGGACAGGCTTAGGCTAAAGATTTTCCTTGCTGCCTGGTTAGCCCCATATTTATAAGTATGGTTTATCCTTTATTGATCAAATTACCTGTCTATATGAAAGTTTTGAGAATCTGTACAAGGAGAGTTGATTGTTGACCTTTATGTTAATTTATGGGTAATAAAATGAGCATTACATTGGTCTATGTACATTTATATCACCAATTCAATTAAATATTTGTGATTAAGTAGTAGGAGAATTATAAACATAGAGACCATGGCTTGGCTCCTAATGATGCTCGGGCCTAGGTCTTAGTTGCACATATTTGGGCCAGAATAGCTTGAGCCTGCATGATCTTTGTTAAAATGTATGTAAGTCTAGACCATGGATAATTTGACATGCCATGCTTTTTACTCTCCTCTTGTCCCAATACCTGGTAAAACATTATTCTTTTTTTTACATTTTTCAGTTCTTGTTTTTCTTTTGTTTGTGGAAAGGAAAAAAAAAGCAGAAAATGCCACAAAGGTTTTCTTTTTCCATTTTTTAAATATTTTCTGAAACACAAATTAAAAAGAAAAAGTTAGTCGTGTGCCTATAAGCAATGTTTTTAAAACCAACCAGTCATTGACCTAGAAAAGTAAAATGGTCGAGGGTCAAAAGGTCGAACCGATTGTAATAAAATATAAATATGCATTTACATACCCAAAAAATAATTTAATTTCCAAATTATTTGATATATATCGATAAAAACATTTATATACTTGGCTACATTTAATTTTCATTATGCCCACTTCCGACGTCAACAGAAATGAGACAATTAATATAGCAAAATCTTCAACAAATGATTCCTATATCATTTTAGTGTGATATTAAAATAAAATTAAATGAGAAAAATAGAGGTGAAATGAAAAAAGATATCAAATATTGAAATTCAAGAATTAATTTATTTTTTGCTTTAAATTTTTTAATACAATTTGTCAAATAAAAATAGCACATTGTTGTGAGGAAATCCCAGTAAGTGTTAAAACTTGAAAGGTTGAATTTGAGGGTGGATCAACTATCCCACATCAGAAAATGAGTAAAAGGAAAGGTTAGAAAGTAACTATAAAAAATGGCTAGCAAGTAGTTAGTATCTTTTTGGGCCTTATACTTAGTCATTGGGCCTATGAAGTTTCCGTTCTTTTTAATTAAAAAAAAAAAAGGCTAACCAGTAAAACCGGTGCTGCCAGGTCAACCGGTTTTACGGTTGGACCTGACAATTGTCCGGGTTTTTCCCGGTTTTTAATTTAAGTGGTTTTTAGTCATAATCGAACCGGTTTGAAGACCAGTTCTCAGTTTTCCAGGCTGGTCCGATTTAGTTTTGGCAACATTGCTTATAAGTGAAATCTTTAACAATCATAACTTCTTCTGACATTATAAAATCATACTCTTAATTTAGTACAAATAATTCATTAATGAGGTAATCTCCCTTTACCTAGAGGGTGGGGGGTTTGTTTGAAACACGTCCAGTCAGTTTTTGGGGTTGAACCTTGGCTGCCTATGTTGTATTGGCCTTGCATATGATTTAAAGCTTGGCTTATTTCACTTGGTACTTTCAATTCCTTCTACACTTCTATTACCGTGTACAACTGTACTAGGAAAAATGGCTTCTAGTGTTGCTATTGGCAGTTATTCTTTTCCATTTCTTTGAATGCCATAAAAATTCATTGTTATCTCGACATTTATTTTCCTCACGGATTTTGACACTTGTCAGGAGTAATGGGTTTCGACACTTCTAGCTATGATTGAGAGTCTGTTGTATCTTTGAGAAGCACTGGAATTAACCCTGTATTTGATGATGAAAGGAGTTCTTGTGCCTTTGAGTATGCTATCTTTCAATAGACTCTGTGTACCTGAATGCTTGTGCTGAGAGTTCAATCAAAAGGAGGAGAAGGAAAAGATTGAAGAGCTTAAAATAATGAAAAATGAAATTGTAGTCCCCATGTAAAAATAATAGAAAAAAATATTTCAAGCTGAAGAAAGGGGAAAAAGGAACAAACGCGAAAAAAATAAAAAAGTGGAAGAAAAAAAGTGAGAAAGAAAAAGCAATAGATAAAAGCAAATCCGAAATGGAGAAATGGATGAAGTTCTGAAATTCTGTGTTCTATGGATATAACTCTTCTGTACACTTACATGCAAAACACTTCATTTAGAGGCTGAAATTATGTAGTCTTTGATGGAAGTAAAATCATCCATAATTGTGATATTCTGGAAGACGACGATCTTTATGCATTTGAAGAGTTACGGCTGGTTCTTCCCACGCCCATCTCTGTGGTCAAGTTTGATTGCTGATGACAAGTGGTGGACGTGGGTGCTTGATTTGATTGATTATAGAGCCTGATGTGGTGAGGTGTCATTACTCCAATGTGGTTATATTCAATTCTTTCCTTTTTTTACCTCGCATTGATGTTAAATACTCAATTAAGAATTTTTTCTTTCCTTATTATAATTTGGTGTGGACCTGATTTAATGCTATTTTATTTTTGCAAAAAATGTCAACTTTTGTTCTTTGGATGTAGTACCTGGGATTTCATCTAATTGGGAGACAGATGGTGACGTGAAAATTCTCAACGCTTCTCTAGGAAAAGTTTGGGAAATGATCTTATTAGTGTCTCAACGCTCATAACATCACTTTTTCTACTTTTGAAAATGTTTAACTCTAAAATGTGTATTTATTTTGTATCACAATTTTTAGTCTTTATATGAAAAATAATTTTGATCTGGAGAAAATGGATGGCAAACCATGAGTTTAAAAGTTTTTGTTTCTTGTATTTATCTGATACTGTTAAGATTAGTTTATACTGTTAACATTAGTATAAAATAATTGAAAAAACATGTATGATACATTTTCTGAAATAGCTTATTTAACAGAAGATGACTCGTGAGCCTGAAGTATGTATCCAAGGATCATACAGCATGAGAGAGATGGAAATCTAATGTAAAAAAGGGAAGCTTTGCTGGATGACATCTCACTGGAACATGAATTTTCTTCTAGTCATCAACGGACAAAGATTGAGCAGATGTCATTCCCCAGAGGGCAGAGGGTTCATTGGGAATCCCTGGAAATATTAAACTAAGAAATAGCATCTTGTTCTACATTTAACTATAAAATGTGAGACAGTTGATATGGATTGGAGTAAGAGTTCTGTGTTAACTTGATAGGAGAAAAAACCATTGCTGCTGGCTGATAAGTACTTCAATAGCATTGATTCTTTTACAATCAGGTTCTTTCGTAGTTTCATAACTTGCTAGCCAAATCTAGGAAAATTGCCATGCATGAATATAGAAGAGCTTTCGAGATTTCCTTAGTGGATTATGGCTGGTTTCTTGGTTTATAATAAGATCTGAAGTGCTCAATTGTTTTCTTTTAGCTGTTTGTTTACATTCTTGTTGAAATTTTAGGATTCACATTAACATGTTGATGTAAAACATTAGATTGTTTTGCTTTATAGTTCTTTTGTCTATTAATGACAAATTTAGTATCTAAACTTGGGTCAGAATGAGTACCTTTTTCTGTCTTTTATAGATTTGGCCCTTGTGAGGTTCCCATTATTTTCAAAATACATATTTCTCGCTTTTATTTTCAACAGCACATTTTTCAATAAAATAATATTGTACTCAAATCCAAAACTTTTCCTTATTTTTTAACAACACATTCTCCATCAAATCACTGTTCCAAAATGCATTATAACAAAATAATGGGGCTCAAACAGGCTCTTGGTATTATATCTTAAATTTTGAGAATTGGTAATGATTCAATATTTCAGTTTTAATTCTATGATCTTTCAGTTTTAAAACTGCATAGTGATCATATGAGTTCTTCCTATTCTCTTGGTTTAACACATGCACAGCATACATATATGCTAAACGAGTAAATGCAGTTTGAATCAAATACAAGAGAGAAATGAATAAAGAGAGATTATGTAATAATGATCTTTCAGCACAACGCCATTCATTGGATCTCGTCTTTCAGGTTGATTATGCATGTACTCCTGAGGAAGTTCAGCAGCATTTCCAGTCATGTGGAACTGTAAACCGTGTTACTATTTTGACCGATAAGTTTGGGCAGCCTAAAGGTTTTGCATATGTGGAATTTCTCGAGCAAGAAGCTATTCAAGAGGCCCTCAAGCTGAACGAATCTGAACTGCATGGACGTCAATTGAAGGTTAGATATGTTCATTCTAAACCCCACCCCACCCCCCCACCCCCCCTCCGGTCTCTACTTGTAGAAGAGTTTTACGAGGAAATCAACTTGGATCAGCTTCTCTAAAAGCACTTATAGATAATTAGCTAAACAAATCCAAAAGTAGCTTCTTATTCGAGAAACAGTTTTAACTATTCAAAAGTCTTGGCAGATGGGCCCTTAGTCTTGATATTTCTTGATGATTTTTCCGCAATTGAGAGATGTGTTTGGTTGCTTTTTATCTTGTTAAACTTACAATTATGCATTAACAGGTGACAGAAAAAAGAACTAATGTTCCTGGAATGAAACAGTATCGTCCAAGGCGCTTCAATCCTTATTTAACATATAGATACAGGAGGCCTTATGTACCACCTTATTTCTATTCTCCTTATGGTTACGGGTGAGTTACTTTCTTCCTGTGTACTTCTACCTTTTAACTGTAATTTCGATAAAATCAAGTGATCAATATTTCAACACACGCTTCCAGGAAAGTTCCAAGGTTTCGGCGACCGATGCGCTACATGCCTTACCAATGAAAAGATGGATTCAATTTCCCGACTTGCATTCATGTGCATCCTCTAAAAAAGTATGCGAACTCTCTACCTATATGGTCTATAAATATGATCACGATTTGTTAGAGAGGAAATTAGCTGCCGATACCATGTAATTTATAAGCTCTGTCTAGTGTATGTTTCTATTTGCAGATGATGGGGGGATAATATTTACTTATATCCGAAATTTTTTTTTTTTGGGTATCTGAATTTCTGTTGCATTAATAATTAAACTAGCATGTTTTGCTCTCAATAGACAAAATCTTAATTTATTTTTTCTTGTTTAATATTATTACTATTTACCTACCCAGCAATCCCTAAATTGTTTTGGTATTATGTATATCTGCAAATTTATTTTTGCACAAATTCATTACATTCTCACTGTAATGGAACCCAAACAAGCACTAGATGTGGTAATTATTTTATCAATTTTTGGTGATATCACCACAGTGAAAAATCTGAGGGACGAGAAAATCTGAATGGGGAGAATTTAACCTTTTTCATAGGTTGAAGAAAATAAAACTAATTAAAAAACTATCAAGTTATATGTTGATCGTTGATTTTCAATTCTTCATATGTTAACCAACATTTAAACAAGAGATATGCTACATTTGACTCTAATGGACCATCAAAATTTTCGAGGGGGAAATTTTGTCTACTCTTATCAAGAAATTACAGATGTTCAAATTATTAAGTTCAACAGCAACCGGCTCTGCTTCCTCAACCCCGAACTGCCCAATTGGCCTTTTCTATTGAACCGCCACCACCACCAACGCTCCGACTTCAACACAAATCACAGCTCGAGAATTTAGACCCCAGTGCAACGTCAGTGTTTAAATTTAGACCACCTACTGGGTTTGTGTCAACTTCATCGTCTCCTTGGTACGTGGACGTCACAGCTACATCATAGGATTCTATTTCCCCCCTCCATTAGGCAATCCGCCGATGATGGTAAGGTCACATCCCTTTTCTCCATGACGAACCCTTTTACTTTCACCCCAAATACACCACAACGCACACCCAAAAATGTCCAATTGCTATCTCCTTGTACCGCCCTTCAAATACTAGAGTCAACACATCCCTTGCATCTTCAACAAACACGAAAGGTTTACTCCATACATTCATTCCTAGTATTTTCAGACGGTAACCCAAGGAATATTGGATACATGTATCCACATTTCATCGAGTGCTCTCCTCTCAAATAATGCTATTTATCATTATGATGATGGAATATCGGCGATATGACAATCTATGTTGAATAATAAGATTAAACAGTTTAATTTTTATGAGAGAGGGGGAGGAGGGAGAGAAATGTAATGGATAATAGATTATCACACTACCGATATTCTACCATCATGATAATAAATATTCTTACTCATCTCCCTTAGGTTCACAATGTCAAATGAGTGCATCCTACATACAACTTCTCTCCAAAGGTAGATCCAAGATCCGGTCATTATCCATCACGTGAAGAAGTTTTTTCACATTCGTCACGTCCCATGCCCTAGTTTATCATAAATAAGTCGATCATTGTGGTTACCTTGTAAAAGTTGTGGATACTAATCAGTCTCATGGAGTAGTCTATTATGTAACATTATTTAACTTTGAAGATTCAATGAATCATGAAAATATGTTAATGACCAATTTGAAATTTTGCTTGAACTTCGGTAACCATCAGTGAAATTAACTCTTTCACATTATGCCACAATCATGTTACAGTCTATTTCCCTGCGCCAACCGTTGAACTCATCGAAACCTACCATACCATACCCCTGAGAACCCACCTCTTCTACCTCACACACACACCCCACACCCTGCCCCATCTCAACCCCCCTTCGCAGTTGCAGTTCAGCATTCTTATATCCCTCGTCGAAGTTGAAAATTCTTGATCAAAAACCATGAAATTCTTTACAATCCAAACATCCAGACTCACATCAACCCAATAATCAGTTTTACTCTACGAAGAAACATGTCAGTTACATTTCAAACCCTTTTCACAAACAAGAATCCTACGTCATTTCATAACACTCTTTCGCGAACCCTTTTCTTAAAATCCCCCAATTTCGCATGCTTAATCCCGAATTCGAAAAACAATTTCCCAATTTCCCAAAATTTCCCTACCCACAATCACCTTTTGTACGTTAGAAAAGTCAAAGCCTCGTTTCAAGAACCGCTTGAAACCGCTCGGAAGCAAGATAACATTAATGGTAGCATCAGTGGTGAGTATAATTTCGATGCATTTCTTTCGATTCTTGAATTTATTTGTCTTGCATCCTCGGCTGTGAGCTCGATATACATTGCGGTTAGCTGTGGGACGCAGAAGGGGCTTGTGGGATGGATGTGGAACAAGATTTTGGTGTGGCAGTGTGTGGTTTTGGTAAGTGGAGTGGTGGTTGGAGCGGTGATAAGGAGGCAGCAATGGAGGAGGATTTGTGGGGTTGGGTTCTCGAGGGTATCAGCTTCTGGAATTAATTTGTTGGAGAGGGTGGAGAAAGTGGAGGAGGATTTGCGAAGCTCTACGACAATTATTCGAGTTTTGTCTAGGCAGCTGGAGAAGCTTGGAATTCGGTTTCGGGTCAACAGAAAGTCTATCAAGGAGCCCATTGCTGAGGTAATTTGTGAGGGTTTTGTATTTAATATTCTGGTTGGCATATAATGGTCACGGAAATGTAGACTATGTTTTTCCACATACAAGTAGGAAATATGAATCGGGTTTTTCTCTCTTGTCGTTCAAAGTACCTCTCGTTATATCAGTGCAGCTAAGATTTTTTAATCATAATGCCTCAAGTTTTATAGAATGATGAACTTCTACATTCTTTAATTTGAATGTTTGTTTGTGTTTGGGGGATGGATTTCTAAATAGAGGTTTGCATATTATTCTAGTTGATGGGTGGTGTAAATAAGTTACTCATATTATTCAAGAGGTTTGCATTGGTAACTAGGAACCAGAAGCTGCATTTGATTTTCCATACATGATTTCTGTCAACTTTGCATAATTTATTATTAGCTCTCCCATTTTCTCTTTAATCTACATAATTAATTAGACAAGTCGTGTAGGTTTGGCGAAGTCCACATTCATAGGATAAAGGAAGACATAATTCGACATGGCATTTATAATTTATTGTTAGCTTCTCTCATTTTCTTGTTAGTCCACATGATTAATAACACAAGACATGTATTTTCACAAACTAATACATGTCTTTTAGCTAATCATCTTTTTGTTTCTCGTTAGTCCACAAGGAATAAGCTACTCATTCCAAGTTCTCAATTTAAATAACTTCAAATAGGTCGTCATCAACATAAATGTATTTATCAATATTGATAATATCAGTAACCAACTTGCCTCCATAGAGATAAAATTTGACAATTTAAAATTGTTTTTTATATGTAGACAGGTGTATTGCCTCCGTCTATCGACGTCTTACTCAACATAAATATTGCGAATGAAATTACTTAAACTTATTATTGGTATTTGTAAATATGTTGCCTATGACCTATGAAAACTTCTGCTCCTTTAGTAGGACCAAACAATTAATTTCTTTGTTTTATGACGTAGATCTTTAGGTTGCCTATCACTCTTGCTGCTGATAACTCCTTTGTATTCATGTTCTGTATTTTCTGCTTGGGGGGTGGGGTCTATTAATATAGGGACCTCTGAACATTATGGATCTTAAATTTCTGCTTGTCATATGCAGAGTGCAGCATTGGCTCAGAAGAATTCTGAGGCCATTCAAGCATTGTCAGTGCACGGAGACATTCTGGAGAAGGAGCTCAGTGAAATTCAAAAGGTTCTGCTGGCTATGCAGGTAGATATTGTCTTATTAAATTCATGAATTAACAATGGATACTGATCACTGTTGAATGTTTTTCTAAACCGCAATATTATCAATTCACGTGTCAAATATTTGATAATTCGATTTAACAGCTCGAGGGTGAAGCATAGAAGGAGCCCTTTAACTGAGCCAGATTTATCTCAGTTTACTAGATCATTTAGCTGCCAGGAAAAACAAATAAAAAAAATACTTCATCTTTTCCCATTTTGTTGATATGATGGAAGGTTACTTTTAAAAATTGGTTGCATTTGTTCCATTTAGAAAAAATTACCCCTCCTTAGACAGCCAAGTCCAAGAATTAGATAAAGACAAGAATCATTGACTTTTGTGAAGGTCTCCAAACCATTCACTTTCTTCATTTAAGAACTTTTGTTCAAGTTGTCCCTTTAAAGTTTAATCTATTATTATGTTGCAATATTTGTTGTAAACTAGTATATTTCTATTTTGAATCTTTTTCGGCTAATCATAGTTTTCTAAACATCAAGTTTTACTTAATTTATTTTAAATCTTGAAGTATATAATTGGAAATAACTGTCAACATGACTTAGCATCACATGATATCCCAATATTTCGGTTAATAACCTTGAAAGAGGTAGATATTTTACAGTAACCATATTTCTATGGGTTTAGATACTAGATGTATGTAACTTTTCACTTTGTTCATTTTCAATCTATAATTGAACTGGAATATATACCTTTGACATTATTATCTTCACGTGTAGAATAGTATAATAGAATATAGTTAATTCAATATAGAAAGAGAAGTTGTATATACTCATTTAACAGTAATTAGACTTAACATTTGAAAAGAAGATTGGATTGTCTCAAATCATTCCTTGTTCTTTTCTCTTAAAATTCCAGTTTGACACCACCTTCCATGGCTAGAAGACCCTAAAAGTAAACCGTATAAAGAAACCGTATTCGTCATTTAGGATATGTTGAATGACAAAACTAAAATAACTCAAGATATTACTTTTAGATGCATATAGTTCTCTAAGAAAAAACTTCCTATCTAGTATTTTGACTTGTAAAATTGATAATTAAAAGTACAATATTACTTGAAATATACAATTGCTAATGTATGTTTGTTAATCTGATTTCTATTACTGTTGAGTTCTGTGTAGGAGCAGCAGCAGAAACAGCTTGATCTCATTCTTGCAATTGGGAAAACCGGTAAGTTGTGGGAGAGTAAACGTGCATCGAATCAAGATCAGAATGCATCAGATGCCTCAAATTTAGCAGTCGATGGAGCACCACATGTGGAAACAAGCCAACTCCAAACTTTAGCCAGACAGAAAGAAGCTAGCAATGATAGAGCCTAGATTTTCAGTTAGACGAGGCAAACTTGGACTCAAATTCCGTGATTCTTGATGCTAGGAGAGGAGGCGTCAGATCGTGGTTTTGAACAATTATGCTTGATATGAATCAAATATTTCTTAACGAGATTTGCGTGCTCTGCCTCGTTTATTTGAGGTGTAAAACAAAGGGAAATTCTGCATCATGTGGTAGATGTTTGATATAGTGTAAAACTGGTTATATGTCAGATTTTCAATGTAGAAATCACATTTGAACACAAAATGATGTTTGCTCTTTCTTTCCATGTTCATATTGAACTTTAAATTCTGTTTACGGCAATACCCGGCCTTTGACGAGGGGCAAAACCGTCAAATATCAGTCTTATGAAGGCACAAACAAAAATTTCATAAATAAAGGAAGACTTTTAAAATAATCAAAGCTGGATATACAAAGTGTTTCTCTGATTTTATTATTTGCAAGACACACGACCAGATTCTTACATAGTTATATCACAGAGAGCATATGAACTTTAGATCAAACTCAAGTAGCACACAGAGTGAAGAACAGTAGGTGATCCGAACAAATAGAAACTATACTATTCGTATCTCAGGGAGATTGGGGCCAGTCGTAACCCTCGTCCACAGCATTAAGATCGTCATAAAACCACATTTCTACGTCGTCCATAGGATGCTCATCTTCCCAAAAGTCATCCAATATCTCATCAGCAAAATCATCATCAATCTCCCCAGCCACAAAATCCCAGGCTAGGTAACCAGACGAGCTTGAATAATCCGAGCAATTATCCCAGCCATTCATATCATAACAATCCACAACTAGAGGTCCGACCACCTTCAATTCCGGGAATTTTTTCACAACTTTCTCATCCAGGTTCACATTCCAACAACCTCGTACATCTAGAAACTCAAGCTGCTTGCAGTTTTTAAGAATCTCGGTCACACTTGCTGTATTAACAAGCAAGTAAGCGATCTCGAGTTGCTTGAGTTGAGGCATTGTATTAGCAATCGCGAGGGCTTCATCGTCTTGGGAAAGCTTGTCGATCACCTCTAGTGGGTGCATTATTCGTCGCAAACTAGTAAGAAATTTACAGTGCCGCCCTATTGCTTCAAGAGCTTGAGCTCCTATATTGATGCAGTAACTCAAATCTAAAACCGTAATAGTGGATAGCATGCCAGAAACTTTTTCCACTATCGAATCATTTATTTCACTTCTTGGCAGTCGCAACGTCTGCAAAGATTTGGCACTTGAAACCAAAACATAATCAAATGAACACAATCCAAAATGTGAAGTGCAGATTAACAATCTTTAAAACTCTGTCAGATTATTCAAATCATTCTAGAATTCGAACCTAAGTTAGAAATTAAACTATGATGAGTGAATTGTACTCTAACGTAAATCCTAGGACATCACTAAACAACAATAAACAATGATTCCACACTATACTTACTGGTTTGCAATGAACAAAATGCTTTCTTCCCCAGAGAGGCCGGAAACACACAGTTTTCGGGGCGACCCACAGCTTCTATCAATTAGTAATCGAAGCATTCGGTCGACAATTTCAGGCTTGCAGTTTCGGCTCCATTCGTCTATGTCTATCTCTATCCAACAATAAGGCCCCATCACTGCCTTTCCCCACGACTTGCAAACCATAGGTATTACAGTCAGTACCTCACGAAGCGAGAGATTCTTGAATATTAGCCCGAGTGTATCGGGTATTAGTTCGTCCCATCGACGAACATAGTCCCCATCCTCCATTTATCTTTAGCTATTTTCCTGATAGGACGTTCGTGAAAATCAAGAAGCTAAACTTGGTCAAAATTTCACACTCCCACTGTAAGTTCAATAATAAATTAACCAAAATGGTTCATTACCTTCAATCAGAAAATTAATATTGAAATCCTGAAAACATTAGGAAGAAACATATAAGCTAAAAATCAAAATCTACATAATCCAAACAATAAATAAATAAATCTAGAGAATCCAAACAAAAATTAGAGCTAGAAGAGGGGAGAGTATAAGCAACTCAAGAAATTCTTGAATTTTGCAACACGTAAGTGAAAAGGCACAACTTCATGATAAAACTTCAGTTTTAAAAACCCAGAACTGATTTGAGGGAAATAATGAATATTCAGATCATAAATCTGGCTAAAATGAGCAAATTTACATAGCACACATAATTATAGAACAGAAATTCTCCAGAAATGCGTAGATCAGCCATGGCTAGAGAGCAAAAATGCTGAAAATACAGCTATAAACAGAGTTTAATTTACAAATATTCACAGCCTTATTGCCCATAAATGACAATGAAAATTAAATTAAATACAACACATACACATATTCAAGAACCCATTTGAAGAGAACCCAAAATTACCAAGCTTTTTGTACTCTTGGATCTGTGAAGAAGCACACCGATTTATCTGCCTGAAATGAAGGGTTCTAAGAGAATTCTCTCATTCTCTCTCTTTAAAGAGAGAGATAAACGGAGTGTGAGTGGGAAAGAGTAAAAGCAATTCAAGAAAAATAAGCAAAAAGCCAAGATCAAATCTTGTCTGTATGTGTTTAACTGCTGGAAGATACCATTTTTTTTCAATGGCTCAGACTCTAGTGAAAAAAGTGTGGTGCTTGGGAAATTGTATTATTGTTCGTACTTTGAACCTTTTACACGCATCTGAGTGACGCACCACCATAGATTATTTGATTAAAAAAGCTGTTTGAATAAACTGGAGATTTGAATGTATGATTGGTGTTGGAGAATTCTTGATTCTACTGTACTTGTACTCTTTTGTAATTGGTTTTGAGTTAATGTGTTTAAAAAAGAAGATTACGTAGTACTTTAGAGTTTAGAGGTTAAGGAAAGAATTTGAGATGTCACTTAATTATGTTTTATATTTGATTAATAGAATATTGTTAGAGTTCAGTGCTCTTTGAACGCGGCGTGAATGATAATGTAGTTAGTGTCTGCAATCATGGTGGTTGGTGAACTGCAAACTTCAACAATATAGTCGACATGCTATAATTGCCAATATGAGATTGGTCGGATCTTGCTACCCCTCTCCTTCGTCCCTCAACTTTGTTTCGAAATTTGGCTAAAGCCCACTGTTGGCTTGGAATCGATGACTACTTGTGTTCGTAGTGCTTGATGGGACGAGCAAATGTGGGCAGCGAACCTGGTCTTATGCTTGCAGTGTCCCTCACGCACGACGTGTGCAACAATATAGCAAGTAATTGTAATGCACGAATTTTTTTCGCACTTTAAATTGACATGTATACATCGTATGAATACGTGCAAGTCTATTTTAGAGACTATAAAGCTTCATGGAGTCTTTTTGTCCAAGTCCAAATTTGGAAAGTCTCGAACTTTACCATTACTTTTTATCTTCGGAATATTTAGAGATATAGGCACAAAGGTTTGCTTGTTACTAATCTTAATCTATATATTTTCAAAATTCTTTGTTTTACATTGTTCAGTTTCCTCCTATTTCGATTTTGTGCACCTTTTGGCCCTTGTATGTCCCAAATGCTCCTTTTGCACTCATTTTGTTGCTTCCTTCTCATCCTTTATTTGATAAGTTGCACTTGATCCGTCTGATTTATCCCAAGTACACGGTATCGTGAACAAGTAATAGAGTGGTGAATAAAGTATCGTTCCCACGAGAATTATGTACTTAATCTAGAATCAATTAATTTTAACTTTAATCGAATAGCAAAAGTTGCTTGAATGATTTATACTAATTATTCCAATTAAACTAAGAAATTCTAGTAAGCAAATTAAAATATTTTTCGAAATTTAGATTGGATATTATTAAGACTTTAAATCCCCCTTATTAATCCATCTTTAAAGCAAATCAATATTATGACAATATGTATACATTTTTGTTGATCAATGTTCTTAAATTAATTAAAAAATCTCTCAATGTCAATTAAACATATCCCATCACGCAACCTATATAAATATCAGAAATGATCTAATGAGCACCGGTGCTCATCTTATCCTAAGCACCGATGAGTTGGCACATTAATTCATTGGTGGATAAAGATTTTGTGAGTTCCAATCCACCAATGAATTAATGTGCCAACTCATTGGTGTTTAGGATAAGATGAGCACCGGTGCTCATTAGATCATTTCTGTATATATA